CCCCAAAACCCCAAAACCCCAAAACCCCATCAATAAAAATGAAAAAAATAGTGCGAGAGTAAGTGTAGTGTTTTATCAAAATTAAATTTTAAAATTAAAGTAGTAGTAGTACTAGTAATATACATACATAATAAATAGAGTTCTAGTCAAACATTTTTAATATTAGATATATAATCAAACGGAGGTCTAGTTGCTCTCCATCTGACATCTTCTTCAAATATTTATAGGTAGAAAAGATTCAAAACTTTGCCATCATATCTTCACTGATGAGCTCTCTCATGAATTCGCCATTCATGATGTCCTTGCATTATTAGATATGCTTGCATAGTTGTTTAATTTATTTTTAGAGGTTATATTCAGCTTATTTTAATGATTCAAAGTTATTATCATTCCCTTTAGGGATATCGAAGAACGCAGTTTTAAAATCTATTTAAAGGGTTCTCAATTGGCTTTTTAACTTTTCCCCTTCATTCTACTTCTTCATGTACATAGTATATGATTCCATGTTGAAGTTAAGGTCCATCATCGAGAGTTGAGTCTCTTTCATAATTCTCTGTGCTTCTTAGTTAAAAGTTTATTGATCAAAGGTCTCTGCTTAATTAATATTTGGCTCTTCTATTGAATATTTAGATTTTTTAAACGTTGACCTTAGCTCATATTCACTATCTTTAGTTGACATATCTATTAAGTCCAATTCAGTCTGATTAGTCAAGTCTTGCTTGAGCTCTTACTCTGACATAATGAAACTTTTGTTAGATTAATAGATCTTGAGAAGATTTGTGTCACTATCTTTATGACAGTTGCTTTCATAATCATCTATTACTATAAATGATTTCTCAAGCTCTTGCAATTATTACTGGGTCAGTTCTGTTCTTTCCCTTCTGCTTTAAAGTCCATCGATTAGGTCAAGAATGTATCTTGTTACTTCTTAGCTTACTTCTTCTGATTTGATAAGCAATAATTCATCGAAAAACTTTTACAACTTCTCCTATCTTTTCTTAATATTAGATGTAGTCAGAGAATTCAAAATAGCTCTAGGTGGAAAATTAGGAAATTTAGTGGCTGGAAATCGCCTTTTGAGTAGGTCCCTTAGGGCTTTCATGTTACTGAATCTATCTTTAATCTCGAGTTGAATTTGAGCGTCCCTCGACTCTACCTTAAAATGGTGGTAAACAACGCCCAGTTCAATGCTATGCTTAAAGAAAGTTACTTTCAAGCCAGTCATCTCGAATGATTATGTAGTGTCCATAGTGAATGGAATTCCTAAAATTTAATTTTATATTGTTTGAATCTCAGGCTAGACGATTTTAATGATTCGCGGGGTTTTGGGGTTTTGGGGTTTTGGGGTTTTGGGGTTTTGGGG